TCCGTAACAGGTGTTCGTGTTATATTATACATGTGATGAAATTAAATAAATCTTAACTTTTGTTTTTATACCTGCCCTATATTATTTTACAGTAATCAGATTCAAGGAAACGAGGTACAAGCGTAATCCAATATTAGCTAGTTGAATATTAAAATATAGTCAATATTATACTGTTTTATTCTTGTGAAAATTTCAAATGAATATTTTCTTTAACTTTGAAGAATTACAGATAAGATAGTACACAAACATTTTTGGTTTTTTACCAAAAGAAACTAATAAGTTTTAAGATTGAGGTTAAGCCACAAAGCCACAAGTCTGCTTATCTAAACTCCAAGAAACTCGTAACACTTTTGTAATTCAAAGATAATTAACAAATGATAAACTTTTAATACATCTATAAGTAAGAGGGGTAATTTGATAGACATTATAAAGATTTATCTGTAAATTGGTGGAACATAAAAAAACCTAGTTCAGCTAAAAGTTATGTTACAATTTTTTTAACGAGGCTTTAAATCAAATTTATTGCAACATATATAAATCTCAGGATAAAATAATAAAAAAACTATTATTACAATTACAAATTGTCCCTTTTGCCTTTTAAATAGACTCTTAATTTGTTTGACTTTGATACTCTAGAATTAGTCACTGTTTACAAGGTATTTTCACCACTGCTTTTTAAAAAGATTTTTAAGATGCTTAATGTAACCTCGTTGTTTGAAGTAGACAGTTCTTTTAAGCTAACAATAATATGAAGAGGTTTGAATTCTGAACTGGATGAGGGCAAATAATGATTAGCTATCATAAAATTCAGAACGTCGATTGCAAGTCAGGCTAAGGAAATTCGTATCTTATGACAAGGTGCAGTTAAGTCAAAAAACCATCAATCAAGTATTTCTGTCATGTAAATTTAATTTTCTGATTACTACATACGCGTTATTATATTATTTTTAAAAACTACATATTCTCGACGTTACTTTTACTTTTCACCAACCGTGATAACGGTAAACATCTTTTCGACCACTAAAAATAATAAAATACTCGTAGTAATCGGAAAAATAATAGTTTAATCATTCAAATATTATTATTAAAATTCACAATGTGATCACTTTATGACACCATAATCTTAATATATTGATAGTAAATACTAGTTACCTAAGTAACTTTCTAATTTACTAGAAGTTACCTAAGTAGATTCTTAGGTAAGTATCTTTCATTACCTTAATATCATTGAACATAACGCTTGTTTCACCGATCCTTTCATCCACAACATCTCTGTCTTGTATCAGTCGGTGTCTCATGGCTGAGATGACTGTGTTGTTACAGTTTGGTTGTTTTGTACAACCATCATGTACGTTGGATCTTAGGTGGGCCGATGAATTCTTACTGAAAATTTATTGTATTTATATATATAGGAAACTTTGAAGCAACAGTTGTATTAGCTATCCCTACTAATATTATAAATGCGAAAGTAACTCTGTCTGTCTGTCTGTCTGTCTGTCTGTCTGCTACGCTTTCACGCCTAAACCACTGAACTGATTTTAATGAAATTCGGTACAGAGATAGAGTTGACCTTGAGAAAGAACATAGGATAGTTTTTATCCCAGACTTTTGAAAGGTTCTCTTGGAAACGCGATATAACCGAACTCCACGCGGCGAAGCTGCGGGCGGAAAGCTAGTTAATATTATATGTTAATGAATGCCAAGTTAGTATGTTGGGTGTTCATAAATAAGTTTACTCATTCAATTAGTTCACTCTGAAAGTCCTGAATTGTATTGACTTTGAAATTGAAATTCACTATTTTGAAAAGTTAATTATTATATTCTAATTGAAGTAGAACATTTCTGTTACCCTATCGCATGTAGCATTACGGCCAGCAAGGGGGGCAACTTACTAATTATCATAAAATATTTTAGTTAATGGCTACCAGGCGAAACAATTTATATTGTTTTTTGTGATTATAGGAAAACGTAATAATTATTTTCAAGAAGTTTTCTAACATTGTGTCATTAAATAATTATTATATAATATATTGATAAATAATTGTACATAGGTTTAAAATAATTCCTATTGTACTAAGACAAAAAAAAATTAATATATTATAAATTACACTCAAATCATACTTACTATTGCATCAATTCATTTTTCCTTTCTTTTATATTCCTCAGTTATATTTTCTTTCAACTGGCTACCTCTACTCATCAATTCATTATAAGTCTTAACATATAACAACACATCTGCCCTATTTACTCCAAGTATTGAAGACAAACCTTGTACTAAATTGTTTGATTTTTGTAGATTTCTTTCAACATTTTTCTGTTCTTTGCATATATCAGTCATTGATTTCTGAAAAATTATAAATTTCATACATATATGTCAAGAAAATAAATATGCAAAAAATTAAAATCATGCATCAGAATTATTCAAAAAACTTAAAAACATATCAGAAAGTTAAGAAAGTAGGTCCAAATAAAATTATAATTCTTTTAATTAATTTTTGTAAAATAAAATCTTGACATACTTTACTATATATGTGGTTAAGTTTAACTAGATGGCAGCACTAAACCGTTTTAGTTTGATCCTAAAACAAATTATACCTATGCTTTTATATGATAATCCTTATTAAAAATAAAGTGTTTATCCAAATTATGAATTTGGATGAATCAATTAATAACGAACACAATGTAAACTATATGCAGACAAAACCTCTTTAGAAATCAATGTATTCACCGTGCGGGTGCCAGGTCCATCGTTGTAGTGAGAGGAGCTTCAACTGTGTCTGTGACTTGCGACCCAGATGTAGGTTTAAAGGGTCCCTATCTAACGCGCGTTAAACGCTCACCTCCACTGTCCAAGCTCCTCTCTCTACCTAACCAAATTTGAAAAGAACCTACAAGGACTGCCTTCGAAGTACGATCCAGGAATGAGTTAATGTGAGTTCTGGACAGGCCCAAGTCATTTAGTAGGTAGTAGCCCTAGTAGGGCTGCCTTATAAAACACATATACTCACGATTCTATCAGCCACTATTTCGCTCTCCTGTATCACATACAACCGTAGATGAGCCGCGAACTGCATGACATCTTCCATAGTACGTAGCTCCCTTCTTAATGCGTAGTGCACGAGACGATCTAACGTTACAGCCTGCTGACATACATCCACTAGGTATGATAGGTCTTTGTAGATTTGTCTGGAAAATAATACAAAATTCATTACTAACTTTATTCATTACTGTTGTGTTTTTAATCCCCGACGCAAAAACGACAGGGTTATAAGTTTGACGTGTCTATGTGTCTGTGTGTGTGTATATGTCTGTCTGATGTAACGTAGCTCCCAAACGGATGAGCCGATTTTAATTCGTTTTTTTTGTTTGAAAGGTATATCCTTTGAGTGTTCTTAGGTATGTTTTTTAGAAATCGATTCATCATCTATTAGTAACATTAAGAAATGAGTTTAAAATTAATACTTCTTGACAGATTAAGATACATAGTTTAATTTCTGTAGCTAATATAAGCTGTGACGTAAAACGCAATATTTTAAATTTCATTTCCAGTCACATTTCCAGATGTAACGTTTACTTAAAATTTTAATAATGTTTACAAATTAGTTACAAAATAGTATAAGGCAGGTATAAATATTATGATTAAAGTTTTGTTCCACAAATAAAAGAACTGTTTTCATTTCGAACGACGAAGTAGCAAAGATGGGGCATTATTTTTATGAATTAAAATTAGATATGGTCCTTAGTTTAACAAGGATCTAAGCGCCTACGTAATCATATACTACATAGTACTAAAGCAGTATGCCAAATTTCATAGATAAAGCTTCAGTAGATCCTGAAATATGACCCTGTGAAAATAGCTAATTTTGGCACTGACTCACTGACAGGTAATCAAAACCTCTAGGCCACTTCCCATTGTTTTAGCATTATGAAATTTGGTACACAGGTTGTGTGTTATATGTAGATTAACAAAAAATTAAGAAATATAAGAAATCGGTCAAGCGTGAGTTGCCTCAATTCTAAATATCGAATTTTTAATAAATTCGACCCACTTTTGACCCCCTGTAGCTCAGTGTCTATTGCAAGTACAGAGATAAAATTGTACCTACGTAATCATATACTAGTCCTAAAGCAGTATGATAAATTTCATAGATAAAGCTTCAGTAGATCCTGAAATATGACCCTGTGAAAATAGCTAATTTTGGCACTGACTCACTGTCAGGTAATCAAAACCTTTATAAAGGCGCTCAGCTCAGCACAATAAAATACATAATAATGAAATATTAATAATTAATAATATGAGTACATCTATCAATCGGTGACAAATGAAACTAAAAAATAAAAAATAAATATAGTTTAAAAAAACTAAAAAACACGCTCCAATGATGAAAGAAACCGCGTGGAAACTAATTTAACCTTTACAACCTTGGAAATCAATTTAATTTAAATTGTTTAAAATTAACAATAAATGGTATTATTGAAAAAAAAGCGTGGTTCGCTTCTCAAGAAGTGATATATGAAGCTCATCACGCTTTTTTTCACAAAAATACCATTAATATTAATATAATGTAAATTAATATTATTGTGAAAAAAGTGTGGGGCGCTTCTTAAGAACTGATATATATATATAAGGGATATAAAATATTGTCATGTATACATAATGCACACTGTATAACTTAATTAAATATTGCTTACCTAAAAAATCAGGTTTCTATTGTTATAAATTACTTTCGATAGATGGCGCTAGCGGTATAATTGAATCGCGATATTGTTTTGTCTGCAGTATATATGAATGAAAGTCGATAAGGAATCGATGGTCATTTCTTTCTATTTCTTTCTACACTTATGTCTTGATATCTTATATATGGTTACGATTACGATTAAATGGATCACTGATTTGACTTGCTAAAGGATTAATTTTGATATTGCTTATTGATTGATTACTTGTGTGTGTTAAAAGCACCAATTCACTCTATTTCTTTTCTACTATTCATTTACCAACGATGGAAATTGTACATCTTTCGGTGGTTGGCGGAGATATACCACATAGGGTAATTCCTATGCCATCAGATGGTAGCTGTATGTTTCATGCTGTAAGTTATGCATTGTACGGCTGTATAGTACGATTGTATGTACGATTTCTTGAAAAAAAGTATTGAAATCTCACCAAAAACATGCCTGTTAAAAAGGGGGCCAAGTTCCAATCGGCTAATTGTTTGCCTAAAAAAGGGGTGAAATCCAATCTTATGCCAAGTTTAGATGCACTTTGAAATCGATCATAATCATCTTCATCAACAGCATGATCCACTGGTAAACATTTGCCATTCCCAAGACTCGCCACCACACCCGGTCCTCTGCCTTCCACATCCAGCCACTCCCCGCCACCTTATTCACGTCAACGGTCCATCTGACCGAAATTCACTTTACCCTACACCCAACTTAAAATATGGTATAGTTGTGAAAATACGTAGGTGCTTGGTTAAAAATATCTAAAATTATAATACTTCTAAATTTGAACTTGGCAGGTTAATTTAATTATTTAAATTATATAATATTTAAATTATACATAGGTGTACAACTTTGCTTCCGCCGTTTTGCAATAGATGGTTGTAGCGGTAAGTGGTAGTCGAAATAAATAGATCGTAGATGTTATACAATAAGCTTAGGCATTTGTAAACATAACGCCATCGAAATATTAGTCGATTTGTGTCTGCATCATAAAGTTATTCTCGATTAAACATGTCAGCTTACGAGCCAAATTCTCGTCATTTGCGGGAGGTTCTAATTTTCTGCTTTAATATGAAGAAATCTGCGGCTGAGGCTCATCGAATGCTCTCAAATACCTATGGTGAGGCCACTATTAGTGAAAGAACGTGCCGAGAGTGGTTTCAACGCATCAAGAACGGTGATTTTGACGTCGAAGACCGGCATGGCGCTGGAAGATAGAAGGTTTTAGAAGATGCAGAATTGGAGGCATTACTTGATCAAGACTCGTGTCAAACGCAACAAGAATTGGCAAGATCATTGGGAGTGATGTAACAAGCCATTTCAAAACGCCTCAAAGTCATGGGAATAAATCAGAAACAAGGAAATTGGGTGCCATACGAGTTGAAGCCGAGAGCTGTTGAACGGCGTTTGCTTGCTTGTGAATAGCTGCTTGCAAGGCAAAGACGGAAAGGATTTCTGCATCGCATTGTGACTGGGGACGAAAAATGGGTTCAATACGATAATCTCAAGCGCAGAAAATTATGAGGATATCCCGGCCATGCTTCCACGTCGACGGCCAAACCGAATATTCACGGTTCCAAGGTATGCTCTGTATTTGGTGGGACCAGCTCGGCGTAGTGCATTATGAGTTGTTAAAACCGACTGAAACAATCACAGGCGATAGTTATCGAACGCAATTAATGCGTTTGAGCCGAGCATTGAAATACAAACGGCAGCAATACAACGAGATACATGATAAAGTGATTTTATAGCACGACAATGCTCGACCCCATGTTGCGAAAGTGGTCAAGACATACTTGGAAACGTTGAAATGGGAAGTCCTACCCCACCCGCCGTATTCTCCAGACGTTGCTCCCTCGGACTCTCACTTGTTTCGATCAATGGCACACGGCCTGGCTGACCAGCACTTCCGATCTTATGAAGAAGTTAAAAATTGGATCTATTTGTGGATCGCTTCAAAAGATGACCAGTTTTTTCAAGGCGGGATTCGTATGCTGCCCGAAAGATGGGAGAAAGTAGTGGCCAGCGATGGACAATACTTTGAATCATAAATGTATAACCAGTTTTTTACAATAAAGCCTTGAATTTCGGAAAAAAACGGCGGAAGCAAAGTTGTACACCTAATATAAATATAAATAATTATATAACTAAATAATAAATTAATGATACAATTAATTAAGTGCTACGTACAGCACAAAAACCTGCCAAGTTCAAATTGAGAAGTATTATAATTTTAGATATTTTTAACCAAGCACCGACGTATTTTCACAACTATACCATATTTTAAGTTGGGTGTATGGTAAAGTGAATTTCGGCCAGATGGACCGTTGACGTGAATAAGGTGGCGGGTAGTGGCTGGATATGGAAGGCAGAGGACTGGGTGTGGTGGCGAGTCTTGGGAAAGGCAAATGTTTACCAGTGGATCATGCTGTTGATGAAGATGATTATGATCGATTTCAAAGTGCATCTAAACTTGGCATTAGATTGGATTTCACCCCTTTTTTTGGCAAACAATTAGCCGATTGGAACTTGGCCCCCTTTTTAACAGGCATGTTTTTGGTGAGTTTCTAATAATGAAATGAGTAACATTTGCAATACTAAAAGGTAAAGTTACATATTTATGCATACTGAAACGAACTCGTCGGGTTTGATATGACACACTAAACTTTGTTCAAAACAGCAAAATGAGCGAAAAATACTTGATAACTCATGAAAAGCATCAAAGTATATAAAATTATGTGTTGTTTTAAGTAATATCTACTGATCTCTTATAAAATTTTCATGTTATTTCTGAGCAATATTCGCAAAATATATTTATATAGTACATGTAATATTTAATTTAAAATAGCATACATTTTTGATGATTTGTATTCAAGTTCATTAAAGTGAAAAACATTTTTTTATTTAATTTAATAACGGTTTCAAACAATATTACTTTTTTTTGTTAAAGATTTTTAATAAAGAATATTTTTTAGAAGTTGACTGAATACTGTCAGGAAAATGAAATTTCTGTTATGACCGAAATGAAATTGTTATTAAGGAATTTGAAATTAACATTTATTTTAATATTTTCAAATAATAATTAATTACATATTTTTATATTTAAATAAGTATTCTGAATTCCATTCTATAATAAAATTCACTTTAAGAGATGGCTATAACTTATAAGCGTATCAGACGTGGAATGTAATAATATTTTTAAAACACTCATATCTTTACAATTTATTGATCTTGTATTTTAATATAAAAAGAATAAAACGCAAATATATACTTTTGGTAACATTATAATTGTTAGGGTTAATTGTTTGTATTTAATTAATATTCATGAGCTTGAGGACATCTTAAGTATCTTAGATAATAATTGGACGTGATATTATGACCATCTGACGATGTGTCGTAGTTAACAACGTCACTCATATAACTACAACAAATTTGATATCCATAATTGTAACAATATAAAGTTACCTAGGTTTACTGTGGAAGTACCTAGACTACAAAAGTATTTCTCTGTTATCACAGAAAACAATGCAGAGCAAACACCGGTATGACCGTATCGGCATGACTTCGGAAGATGAAGCATCAATTCTTGATCCTGCCCCATCTACTCTACGAGACGGGGGACTGGTCCAAGAACGTAACGAACACCAACCAAGAGGGAATATATCACCAGGCAGGTGCAGAGCACGCACCGCCTGTCGGAATGGCCTTATCGGCGCTATCAGCTTTAGGCCTCGGCCTTGAATTTTGCGGGCAGCGGAGCGGGAGCGGGAGCGGCAGGATCTTACGCGTATAATCAAATGGACCGACCCTCGAATACAGCGGTGCCCGCTGCCCGCTATTTTGGAGAAATGTATGCGTTTTCGTGCTGCCGCCGCTGCCGCTCCGCTGCCCGCAAAATTCGAGGCCGAGGCCTTAATGACGGATGAGACGTGAAAATAATTTGAGGCTGTCATCAATTCTTATTAAAACTCATTAGTATTTATGATTATTGTTAAAAGTAAAACGAAATCAAATATTGTTTGAAAGGAGAATAGAACTAGGTTTAAATCTTGGTATAAATATGACGTCTGGACGCACGACGGCAGACTTGAGAATTCAGAGTTCAGTGAGTGCGTATCATTGAAGTATGTGATTATGAAGAACCTTCAAGAAATACAGGAATATTAAGAACTATTGAAGTTTCATTTTAAAATATCATGGAGCTTTAGAAGAAGTGACATTTGTAACGTCAGCGAGGCTGGCGTCTCTCTCTTTGAAAACAATGAATTTGTAATAAATCCGATATATACAAATATTTTACTTATAATAAGTTTTAATAATTGCAATTCAACAATTGACAATATCACATCTCGTCTGCCCGTGATCACGGTTGCTGTAAAGTAGCCAAAACGTCGGGAGTATGAAGTTTATAGTCAAAAATAAAAACGCGTAGTAAATCCGAAAATATTAGTTTCATTTAATTGACAATATCAATTGATTTCATTGTTTTTTATACAATTTGAAATATATGTACATGTCATGTACTTAACATGTACATTTGTAAATTTCACCAAAACTATATGACAACAAAATTCACAGTGTAGACAAAAATTCAATATATTTGTGAGTAACCTATAATTCATAATTACCCATTTAAATTATGTTCCTTTTGAAAATTCGCTTTATTAATAACTAGCTGACCCGGCGAACCCTATATCTGTTACCTTTTATCTGAATAAAACTAATTTCTTTATTAAGTATAACTGACCCGACAGACAATGGTCTGTCTTCCTACTGTGATTATTGGATTCTTATTGGTATATTAATACATATAAACATTATTCCAAAAACAAAGTGTTTATTATTCTAATACTTTATTCTAACTACGTCATATTACCGCCAGTGACATATTATTTTAACATAAAAGTGAAACATTGTAGTTATTTTCTTTTCTAGTAATTTTCGTATTTTTTATTACATAAGAACCTTCTCCTATCAATAACAAATACATTATACAACAAAAAAAGAATCAGTGAAAACGGTCCAGCAATTCACGCGTGATGCCGTGACCAAGGGAAAAAGGTTTTAAAATTTTTATATATGTACATACATAGATTGTTCCTCATTTCTCTGAATTTTAGTTTTAGCACTTAATAAATGCCCTGCGATTGAAAATAATTTCCATATGACAATCTTTCTTAAAGTAGCCCAAATGTGTGCAAGTTAAAAAAATCAATCTAAATGCTGAACAATTTCTTTTGCATAGAACTTGACGACAACTTTTGTAATATTATCCCTGCTTCGTAAAGGTCACTAATAGTTCCATACTACATATGATTTAAGAAAGAAGACACCAGGTTTAGAAGATTATATAAATACAGACAAATCAAATGTTTTTGATAAACCTTAGCATTAAGTGTCATAAAAATATAAATATGCATAAACGTATTAATACATATTTGGTTGGCAACTAGAATATTATCCGAGACCTTATTGTAAATATGTAGTTTTATATGGTAAATTTCATATTTGGTCTGAAATTTGAAAATTGAAACGGTTTAAATATATTGCAATAGCTAAATATGTAGCAAGAATTCCACAGAGGTATATTTCCTTTATTTATATTACACAAAACTACTTAATATTATACAGAGTGGTTAACTAGGGCTGTAACGTTCATACAAATGCAATTTAACTATACCGTGTTTTTAAAACAGCTTATAGAATCTTACTTATACAATAATGAAAATAAAGGCATCCTTTTATTTTCCTAATATCATTCTTAACATATGTATATATTGGACGTTCTAACTCTTGCTAACCGACTTTATGACAATTTAACAATATTAGTCAATTTCAAATAAATTGGTTCTGCTTTCAATTTTACATGTGACTAAAAACATATTAAAAAATATTCGACATTTAAGATCACATTTTACAATAATTATTGTAATGTGTGGCAAAAATAATGATGATATTCACTTACTTTTCGGCAGCATTATCTGTATCTCCCATTTGTTTATCTTCATCGTCATCATCATTTTCTTCATCTGATTGTTCTGGAATTTAAAAGGACATTTATTAAATTTACTTTTTACTTACTACTACTACTACTTATTTACTATTTTCTATTGTATATGTTTAAAACTTAATTTTATATGACTATATTATTAACCTTTCTGTTCGACGTCTTGTGAATCAAAGTCGTCAGTCATATTGACTCCTTCTCTTCTTCCTTGCAATCTTTATCTTGTTCGTTCTTTTCTTCACCCGGTTTATGCGCGTCGTCCAATTGATCCTTTGAAAACAAAAACAATAAATTTTCAGTGTGTAATAAATTTTGTCTACAGCGCTAAAGTCTTTCAATAATTCTATCTATCCCTTTCCCACACCTGGTTTTCTTCGCGTTCAGAGACATCTTTCTGTCCCTCTCCCTCACCAAGTCCCATACCGCTGTCTCCAGTAGTGTCTTCTCCCTCACCCTCCTCTGAATCTAGGTCTGAATGTTGGCAGAAACTGTAAGGAAATAAAGGAAGTTTCAATTTATTACTTGCCTAAAACATTCTTAAACTAACTTATTCAAGGATAATCGTAAGTACAATATGAATTAAAAAGCTTCTGTGGAACAACTTATTGAAATTATCTAATTTGTGGCAATTAATGAAAGTTTTTATAATATTTTATTAATTTTCTGTACTTTAGATATTTATAAAGTTTTATATTTAAATGCAACCCCAACTTATTCATTTTAACATTGTGGTATATTTTATCTAAATTGTATCGATATATTTACCCTTTCGATGCCAGATCCAAGAAAATCTTCAAAAACACTAACAGTATTTTACAGGATACTCTATGCACAGCAACTTTTTGGGATACAAAATATTGGACAAATAGTATAACTTGCTCCAATATCGGGACCAATCTCATAACAACAGTTCTAGCTTCTTCCACATCAGACCGAGTCGCAATATATTGCACATAGTTAATCAAAAGTTCGCGCAATTTCTTGAATCAGTCGATATGTTCTCTTGGAGTAATTCTTTTAAATGATTATCTTCTAAAATTTCTTTGGTTTCAACTTTTCATCTTCATGTATAATTTCATCAATAGCGTTTATAACGTCCATATTCTCCGCTTGTTTCTCTGGCGGCACATGTTTTTCGTACAACGATTGTATCACGAGTAACATCGTAGCCACAACATCTTCAGTCTGCTCTAACATTGTGCCGTCAGTTTCATCCATTTCTTGGTCTATCGGTTCATCCAATTTATCAAGTTCTGTTTTTATATCTTTAATGTAAGCCACCATATTTTCAAGGCTTCTTAGTATTGGATGATGCGGTGGAAGTCTTCTATGACCGTCGTTTTGAAAACAAACTGATATTCGGTAATAATTTCCTCACTTTTTTCTATTATAACGTCCAAATTATTCTTACCTTCTATATGACTTTGAGAAACTAGAGGTAACTTAATGGATTCTTCAATTTGTTTTAAGTTTCGAGATAATTTGTTTAACAGTTGCCTTTTGTTTATCAACTAGAGATATAATTGACTTAATTTTTTTATTAAGAGACAGACAGACTTCAGAACGACATTGAACTGTTCTAGAAGAATGCTCGTACGAGCGTAGCATTCCACTAACACATTATTTCTTCAAGCGAAGTTATATTACATCCTGTAGAGTCTATTTCTAACGCGTTTGTAAGACTTGTAGCTACGGTTCGTAAATCGAAAATATGTTTCGTATAAGGCGAAATCGACTTCTTCTGAGTTTTAGCATATTTCTGGAAATAAAATGTATATACTTAAAATTTTAGCACAAATTATTATTTAACACTATTTATAATGTCATGGAATATCAATATAATGCGGATTTAATTTCTATTTCTATTATATCATATAACTGTTACACTTTTAACAATACACTTATAGCAAAAAGAAATATAAATATATACTTTACAACAAACAAAATATTGGTGATCACAAAACAAAATATTTGTGATCACACAAAAACATGGACAAAGTCGAATGCTTTTGTTATATAGTTGTAAATACCTGCTTTTCAAATAGCTCATAGCGGCATCCCAATCGACGGGTAGTATTGTGAAATCATACATGTATAACGAGACCCGTGCGATAATTCAAGCCGATTTTGTTCAAATATTTGAACAGATCCGATAGAGCTTTACGCTTCTGCTGCGTTATGTTTTTGGCTTGAGATTTTTGCTTGTCCTTCGGCAATGTTGAATCCACCTACAATATAGAGTATTATTATTAAAATGTATTTGTTACAATCTTAGCAGTAACAGAAGACATTTTTTTCGGATATAAGTCTAATTTTTAGAAATTATCTAAATGAAATAGATATGACAATTCACATTTATATAAGAACCAATATAGAAATTGAAACAATTTTACGTGTATAAAATAAATATTCGTTATAGAATTTAAAAAAAGAATTACCTCCAAAGATCCTAAATGTTCACTTGTCTCTATAACCAAGGCTACAAAGTCGTCCAAGCATGTAGTAGCGCGGGGTAGCCCGTGTTAGCGATGCTGTCCTTACAACATGTTCGAGCTTTGTTCAGCAGACTCGGAATCTTTGCCAGGACACTGTTCTCTTGTATTAATTGACAAGGCTGTTCGAGCTGGTATTCGTATTTCTTTAAAAGGGAATTCAATTATTAAAACATTATTGCGTAATGCGTATGTTGCATATTTATAACTGTAACTAATGTTTTTTTTAAAGACATAAAGAA